ACCCCGCCCCGCCCCGCCCCGGTGCGCCGCTCACCGGGGTCGCTCGTCAGGCCCGCCCGCGCGAGCGCCGCCAGCTGGCGCAGCGCTGCCGCGCGCTGGTAGTGCGTGGCCGTCTCTGCCTGCGCGTCGCCCCAGATCGGCTGAAGGTCCTCATCGCTCGCCACGTCGGTCACGCGCACGGGGGTCGCGGAGGCTGCGTGCGGGTTGCAAAGGTTGTCACTCAGGAGCATATTCAAGTGTGGAAGGGAAGGGCCCAGCCTGTACGGCAAGGAGAGCGCTTCGGAGCCTGCTCCAGGTCGCAAGCCGGTGCGGGGATCTACGAGGTGCCCACGCACCAGCTGCACGCCGTGTGGCTCAAAAGGCGTGCTTCGATGCAGGAGCCATTGTGCTGCATAGACTGGAGACACGCGGGCGACACGCGGCCGCTGCAAGGCACCCACCCGCACCCTCGGGGGGCGACCCTCACCGGTGAGGGGCGAGAATGGCAGTGTTGTTCCCGCCGACCCATCCCCGCACGCCAGCTGTATCATGTAATACGTCAACCGCAGCAGCTTCCTGTCCACGCTCTTGTGAACATCCAGCAGCTTGCGGATGCTGAGCAAGACCGGCAGGATCGACGGCGGCATTGCGCCGAACAGCGTCAGGCGCGGGAGCGCCTTGCTGACCATGTCCTTGCCATCCTCCGCTGTCGCAGATCCAGCTGCAGTGCATGATTGTATGGTGTTAGCGTGTGCTTCGTCAGACACTGCTGCAGAGCTGGATAGATGCAAATGCCAGAGATCGCTCCTCGCTACTCACCGAGTGCCCTGGCACAGTCTGCAAAGTTGGCAGCCTGTCATATGGGGCGATTGTGAGGCGTTAGAGGTGTACATGAGGCCACGCATACGATCCATTGCGTGCTGGTCCTTGATCACCTCTGATCTCGACAGCTTCGCCCGCACATAGAGGTTCAGGGTGGGTATCAGCTCCCGCTCCTCGTTGGGCCCAGGCTGGGGCGGCGGCGCCCCGGGCTGGGCCCCTGGCTCAGCCATGCCCAGCTGCTTGCAGCGCTCGAGCGCTGCAGTGGCCGTTAGTTATTCGCTGCACAAGGCCATCCAGCAACTATATTAGTAGCGATGATGCAATGACAGTAGCACAAGTCTGATAGACATGCATCCAAATCGGCGGTCGGTTAACCGGTGGTCACCAGTCCGGTGATACAGGCGGTCATATGTGCATCAGTGCATGCACCAGGCGTGGCATGCACGTGGCATGCATCAGGCGCAGCGCCTGTGCCAGCCACCATTGCCGTATTTATTCAGCGCTGGTTTCTTCAGCGTTAGTGGGTTGGCTGGCCTTCGCAAAGGGCAATGTCATACATACACCCAGGCCAGTACAACCACACAGTTCTGCACTGTGCAGCCCTGCTGAGGGGCTCGGACCCTCAAGAGATGGACAACGAGTCAAAGGGGCGTTACATCACGTGATCACTTGCCCTTTGCCGGCAACAACGCCGAGACCCAGCTCAGTCTCCCAGTTGTATCTTGAGGGGCGATGCAGGCACGACCATGTCTCGTCGCCTCTCATCGCCGGTTTGCAGTCGCAGCACGTCGCGACAAGCCCAAGGAGTGTGGGCCATGCCATGTATTTCTACAAATCAACAATGTCTTGGGAAACAACAGCAGTTAACACACCTGCGACGTAGTCAGCGATTTGTCGCAGACGCCAACCTCCCGTTTCCCAAAATGCTAACACCCGCTCAACCCAGAGCAACCTGACCCGCCAAAACCCATTCCCGGCTGATCGCTGCGATCACGAGCCGCCTGGCCGCGCAAACTGCGGCTGCTCCCACTCCTCATCTGTGTCGGCGCCATTGTCCCAAGGCTTTGGCAGCATGACAGGCGACCCACCAGGCCAACCGGGCACGCGCTCGGCCCCCACCGGCTGCTGCGGCTGCGCCTGGGGACGCGAATACAGCTGGGACCACCCCGCCATCCCCGACCCCCAGCTGGGCCGCTGCTGCTGCTGTTGGGGCGGTTGCTGTTGTTGCTGGTGTTCCTGCTGCTGCTGCTGGAGCTGCTGCTGCTGTTGCTGCTCCTGCTGTTGCTGTTGCTGCTGCACCGACGGCAACTGCTGCCCTGCGAAAGGGGTCAAGTCGCCTGCGTCCAAACTGCTGCCCGCGCTGTCCAATGTCGACTCCGCGAAACCCCCCAACCCCTCCGCAGCAGAGCCCTCCGCCCCCTCCAGCGGCGCAGCCGCCGTGCCCTCTGCAGCGCCCGCGCCGCCGGTGGGGCCCGCATGGGGCAAGCCCGCCGCCCGTCGGCCCTCGCTGCGGCCGGGCGTCCCAGGCTGGGCGCCTTCGGCCCTCCACGCCTCCGTCAGCTGCTGGAGCCTTTCTATGCGCTCCGCCAGGCCCTGCCACCGCCGCAGCACCGCGCGGCGCTTGCGCCGGTGGCCGACGATCGCGCCGATGAGGCGCGAGGCGCAGCCGGTGGTGAGGCGCCAGCCAATGTAGAGGGTCGTGGCGGCCAGCATGCCTGTGCGCAGGTGCGAGAACACCACCTCCTGCGGCGGGCGGGACAGTTGCATGGTAAGCACATATCGACATACGCATGCTGCATGTGCATGCCATGCATGATCAGCCGCTAAACTTGCGGTCTTGGTGTGTGCTTTTCTGCCCTTTGGGTACACACCAACTGTATACAGGATCACATGAACCCCCTGCACTTTCGACTCGTTCATGCATGTGTACGCGTGCTGCCCAAGCGATAACACCACTCACCCCTAATGGCATGATGCGCAGCAGCTTGTATGCGGCGTACATGCCGGCCGCGACGCCGCCTGCCGCGGCCAGCTCCTCCGAAACAAACCTTGGCGGGAACAGCTCGGGGTACAGCTCATCCAGAAGCGGCTGCATCGCCTGCAGATGGGGGCATGCAAGCGGAAGCCGCATGTGCGTCAATTCATGAAGCACAGTGTGGCATTCCATGTGTGTGCGGGGAAGCGCTGAGCCCTCCCCGAGGGGGTGGTTGGGTGATGCGTGGTGCAGGTCGGCGGTGGTGGGGGTGGCGGTGGCGTCCCAGCAGGCCGCTGGGACAGCACGCGGTGGGCTGCATGTAAGCGCACCTCAGCCTCACGCTTCAGCTCCTCCAGTTGGCGGGCCAGCTGCTGGGGCGTGCAGCCCGCAGCATCGTTGAGGGGTGGCGACGCCATCGCTCGTAGCGCTCCGGCAGGCCCGAGGCGAGGGCGGCAGACGGGACAAGCCCCGGGTCGCGGCAGGGGTGCTCAGCGAAGGTGAGCGTGCTACGACAACGCGTGCGACTGCGACTGCGAGGCCGCGCAGCGTCGGAAGCATGCAGCGAGAGCGGCCACTGTGTCAGTGCCACGGGTGCCTGTTGGATCGAAAAGAGGCGCACTGCATTTGAAACACGATTATGTTTGACATACAAAACATGCAAGCGAACGCGGCATAACCGATCTACAGTAACACAGAGTCACAGTGACACGACAGCAAACGCACACACACTTGAAGCGGGAGCAATACGCATGCATAGTAGCATCCCAAAAGCTTGCTCTCACCAGCTGCGGCTGGCTTGACAGTAGGAAGCTTGGCGGCAGCAGCAGCACCCGAGGACCGACCGCCCCACACGCGCGCCGCGGCGGCCAGCGTTGTGCCGTTCGGATCAGCAGGATGAAACTTAAAGAGCTGCACAGCCTTATGCAAGACATGGCACCCTTTGATTCATCCCGCCTCAAGGTGCAGCTGGAGCAGTACCCGACCGGTGCAGACATCGCGAGCCGGATGCTCTTCACAGTGAGGGTGCCCTGGCACGCTGCGCCATGTGCCCGTTGCAGCGACTCATCAAGGGCTTCGCCGCCACGACAACAGGCTCAGTCATTTGGCACGCTTGTGGGCAGGGCAATGTTAAGGGGTGACTGCCACAGGCAATGAGGTATAAGGCCTCGCAGGCTGCTAGCCGGCCATGCAGCAGCGCCAACGCTGAAGCGGCCGGGGGCGCTGACGCGCCCACAAAACCTCAGATTGAGTCCATGTACAACGACTTTGAAGGGAAGACCGTCATGGACCTCGGCTGCGGCACGGTGCGGCCCTCCGGCTTCGCAAGCGGCCGTGCGTCACCCGCTGCCTCATAACCACAGCAGGACGGGGCATTTCATTCCATTACTGCGTTTTCACAGCAGCTCGCAGCGCCGCCGGCTCGAAAAGGTCCCCCAGCCCGCCCGTCCCCCGCCCCTCATGCTCGTGCCGCGCAGGGCATGCTCAGCGCCGGCGCCGCGCTGCTGGGCAGCCCGGCCGTGGTGGGCGTGGACATTGACGCAGATGCTCTGGACGTTGCCCTCGAAAACTGCGACCAGTTCGAGGACCCCCTGCCGGTGCGGGCCCCGCGCGGTGCTGCAGCTGCTGCCTACCGCATGCGGCTGGGGGCCGCATGAGCCGAGGCACGCGTGTTGATGAGATGGCGGCGGGAGGGACCTCCTGCCGTTTCTTTCCTGGTCATGTTGCACTTGCAATTCTGCCGGCGCAGCTTGGAAGGAGAGGGGTGCGGACGGCTCGACGCGGCGTGTTCGGGCGCCTGCAAATGCAGTGCCTGGGCATGAAGGTTGCTGCTTGCGGCCTGCACTTGCTTGTGCACGTGTCCAGCAGCGAGCTCCCCGCCAACGTGCTGGTTCGATTCCATCAATGCCGCCCAGGTGGACTTTGTGTTGGCAGACGTGCTATCCATTGCCGACAGCAGCGCCTGCAGCACCAGCGGCAGCAACAGTAGCGGCAGCGGCGGCGGGCCCTGGCGGCGGCTGCGGTGCGACACCGTCATCATGAACCCGCCGTTTGGGACGCGTCGCAAGGGGGCGGACGTGGATTTCCTCAGGGCGGCGACAAGACTAGTGCGGGGCGGCGGGGGCGCAGTCTACTCCCTGCATAAGAGCTCTACGCGCGCCCACCTGCAAAAGGTGGCGCTCAGGTGGGCCGGCAGCGGCGGCGGCGGCGGAGGGGCGGGGGAGCGCCGTTTGGTGCTCCTCGTCCCAGCCGGCTGCGGCCAGCGGGCGGCAGCGCCACCGGCGGCCGCGTGCCACAATGGCGGAATGCTGTCAGGGGCGTGGAGGCAGGCTCATGTGCTTGCCGCTTGCAGACTCACCCACAAGCCGCTGCACGTCCCGTGCTCACCGGCGCGGCTGCAGGGAGCTGGGCTGCTCTGAGGCGGAGGTGCTGGCTGAGCTTCGATACGACCTGCCTGCCACATACAAGTTTCACAAGTGAGGGGGTGGTTTGCTGAAAACAAGGGAGGGGATCCAGCGGTGGCAGTGGGGCGCCGTCAGCCTGTTTTGAGCGGCGGCCTGCGGTGGTCGGCTTGCCTCGTCGTCGGACGCAGTTCTGTGCAAGACACCTGCCCCCGCGTGGCCCACGCCCTGCATGTTCGGCCGTTCCACAATCCTTTCAGGCAGCAGAGCAGGGACATCGAGGTCGACCTTTGGCGCTTTGTAGTGCCGCAGCGGGACGAGGCGCAGCCATCAAAGCCGCCGGGGCAGGGGCGGGCGGCGGGCGGCGACGAGGCGTCTGACGGCGAGTGCGAAGAGAATTCCGATGAAGACGATGAGGAATCTGGGGAGTAGGCGCAATATACTGGTAACACTCCTTCTTCTATGTTGCTAGCGCGACGTTGAGCTGCAGTGGCTGTGGTCAATCATTCAAACGGCCGCGTCTTACTGGTCAAGATCATCATTGCATGTCAACCCTGAAGCAGACGCATATGCCTTGTGCCGCTGAGTTTATGCAGACCTTGATATGTGATTCAACGAGCAATCATCGCTTTGATAGCGATGAGCGATCGAGCGATGATCACTCTCAGCCCTTTTGATCACGACTGTATGTGAAGGCTTGCTGATGGCTCCCAAGACCGCGACCACAAAACAAGCGGCCAAGGCCGCGCCTCCCGTGGAGCCCGACCCGGTGGTGCGAGTCCAAGTTGGATAGCCGTTTTGTGCATTACCGTAGTATCATACAGACCCGTTCAGCAAACTTGTCAAATCCATCAACATGGATTTCCTGCGCAGTTTCCGCCCGACCTGCCGGCATCATGCCCCTTCGACGCTGATTGGCGCGCAGCCGTGTGCGCGGTCTGGGCAACGGGGCCGCCAGGGGCACCCGCTGCGCTGCGCGACGCGCTGCGCAAGCTTCATGTGCTGCAGGCGGTGTCGATCTCAGACCTCGCGGCGCGCCTGGACCCCGCTGACCCGCTGGCGGCGGATGTCGCCGCCTGCGAGGCGGCGCACGTAGCGGCGGGAGGGGCGCCAGAGGCTCTATGGTGAGATGCCGAGGCCTCAAGTAGGAAGGGCCGCAATTGGGGTTTGCTGCCTGAAATCCCTCTAGGTGCCGATCATTGCGCTCCACTCGCATGCATTAGCTCAGCAGCCGCACGCCGCCATGCGCTGGCCATGCGTCGCGCCCGCACCGCCGCGCAGCCTGCCGCCGGCGCTGTCCGCCCAGCTGCTGGCGCAGCGCTTCCAGCGAGACAGCGGGCACGCATGGCGGCACGAGCTCATGCGCAGGCGCGAGGCGCTGGCCGCGGCGGAGGCTGCGGCGCAGGTGCGAGGCACAGCTTGCTGACGGGGTGCTCCCCCTGTGCTATGCACTCAAGCCAGCGGCGGGACGAGCCCCTTAAAAGTGCGCTTCAGCTGAGACGTGCGTCCCAAGCATGGGTCACAGCATGCATATGATGGGTGTCCAATGCAAATGCGCATGCAGCCGCCCCCGGCGCTGCAACCAACGCGCCTCTCCTGTGCAGGCTGCAGCGGACGCGCAATCCGCAGCCGCCGCCGCGAGCCAGGCCGCCGATGCGCGCCTCGAGCAGCTGCTGTCTCTGCCTCCAGGCCGGGCGTCGCGGCAGCAGAGCGGCGCGGTGCGTCAGGAGAGCGCGGCGCGGGCCGGCTCGCAGGGGGTTGGTCAATGGGAAGTCAAAGGTGCAGCAGGCGCGCTCGGCAAGACCGGCGGCGGGGGCGGTGGTGCTGATGTCAGCAAGGTGGATGGGAGTGCTCGCAGTGATCTGGCGCCCATGCAGCCAATGACGAGCGAGGAGCGGAGGCAGGCGATCGGGGACGCCCGGGCGGCAGCCGAAAAGGCACGCGTCGCGCTGGGCGATGCAGCTGCCGCGGCTGGCGCCGCCGCTGCCGCGGCGGGCGCGGCCGCGGAGGCGCTCGGCGCGAAGCACGTGAAGTATGAGTGCTACTGGGTTGAGGGTCTGCCGGCGACGGCCGCCGGCCTGCGGGTGGGGGTGGAGGCGGGCGTGCCGCTGCGCCTTGTCGCGCGCGTGCGGGCGCCGCCGGCGCGCGTCGAGAGCGGCAACCCGAAGGATCAGGCCGCGGCGGCCGCCGCGGCGCAGCAGGCCGCGGCGGCGGCGGCGGCGCTCGGAGCGGAGTTTGGGGCGCTGAGGGCGGAGCTGGCGGACGCGGGCTGGGGCGACGCGCTCGGCGGCGTGGCGGCAGTGGATATCGATGTCGGCCCGGCTGGGCTGGGCAGCACCTGGGCGAAGCCGCCACTGGGCAGCCGGATTGCCAACCCCCCGTGGGCCGTGGCGGCCACGGCCGCGCGGGAGGCGGCCGTCAAGACGGCGGAGGAGGCCGCGGCGGCGGCGGCGGCGGCAGCGGCGGCCGCGCCGCCC